TTTCACTTGACTCAATACAAAACACACTAAAGAGGAGAATACTCAAGAGGTTTGACACAAACTACTTCTCTGACCTACCACCCCCAGGCCCACCTTCCACACACAGTTGCAGAGTCAGTAAAGTGCTGGAGAAAAATCAGATTAAATTCACTTCAGAACCGTAGTGAGAAAGGGGGCTCTTTTTGTCAAACAGAACAACACCTCGAGGAGTTTGGTGCAACTGCTGAAGGAATTGGGTAGAAGAAATCAGAAGCAAGAGAAGGAATTGCATTGGGAATGGCAGCGACCACCTGAGGACTGCTTATCCCCAACACCACACGTGAAGGTAGTGAAAGTCTGATCTGCCAGTCCCATTTAGCAGCTACAATACAAAGCAGGAAAATGAAAAAGCCACAGAACCCCAAAACAAGCATACCAGCAGCTTCAAGTTTATCTCACCTTTATTTCTACAGGATCGTTCCAGTGGAAATTGATAGGAGCCACACCAGGTACGTAGAAAGAATCCGTACCATGAAGCCACAACAGCAAGAGCAGCAAATACCTTAGCCTTTCCTGCAAAAAGAAGAAATATTAAACTACAAAACAAACACCAGAACATCATTGGAGGAGGGCAACACCACTGAAAGCACTCATCCCAGACATTACAGAGTCCTTACAGTTGAGCAGTGAAACATCAGTTAATTCAGGAAAGCTGTTAACTTTGGTCCATGGCTCTCATTAAGCACCTTCCACTCCCTGCTTGTTCACATGCAATGAGGAGAGTGTTGGCTTTGCTCAGCTACAACACGCCCATGTTTATCTGTACTATGATTTGCCTAGACATTTACCAGAGAGTTAACATTCACCCTGATCTGGATTTCCCTCAGCTCTGTGGGTCAGGAGCTGCCCTGCACCATTACCTGCTGCACTCACATCACAGCCCACAGCACCCAAAGGGGCTGCTCACATCTACTCTCTTTCCAACTACAAACACTGTGATACAGTTTAATCTTTAAACTTAAAACGTACTTAAAATATAAGTGCCAGAGACTTGCCCAAAACGTGTTAAAACTAAGTTGCCAGCTACTATCTACCCTCATCACCACCCAAAAGAAGATTTCTGGACTTATCCCAATTTCAGCTTAATGTAGTTACAGCAGGCAAAGATCACTGTCTGGAAAGCAACCGAGAAATGCTTCTTAGATGTGAACAGTGCCCTGATATGGGGTAGGTTTCATGTACTTCACTAAGTTTTGCCTTCTCTGATCATGTAAAGGAGAGCTGTGACTCTGAGCCATTAGGAAGGGATGCCCCAGGCAGGTGAGCACCAGAGGGAGTGCTGTGCCCCACAGCAGCCAGCTGCCTGTAGCACTTCTTGCTCCATTTGTCACCAAAATGCCTGTCATCCACTGCACTACTTAGCAAAACCTAAGCAAAATCAAAACCACTTTGGTGCAATCCTTGTCATGACAGGCTTGCAAGATGACAAAAATAAGGATGGAGCCTTTGGAAGGCACTCAGGAGACACACAAGCACACAGAAGATGCATTGGGGATGACACTTACGGCAAAAGTCAGGCTCTTGGATATGGATGGTGATGACTCAAGACAGTACTGGGCAACAGAGAAGATGAGAGGGGGACTATAGAAAGCATTGCCAGGAAAAATTATTTGGGGCAAGAAGTGGGAGCACCACCATGCAGCAGGAGGGATGGAGTTTCCAAAGTGACACTGGAGGGAAGTACGTGTGATGCCTGAAGCCTTCTGCATTAGGATCCTTGCTGCCATACTCAGACATCAGCCTCCCCCCCTCCAGCTAAAGAGAGCAGCTTATCAAGGCAACTCAGATATGCACCAAAACATCTGCACAACTCCTGGGCCTGGCCAGGCCATCTCTCATCTAGAAGATACCTTCAGGACTGAACACCACCTGTGCAAGATCAAAATGCGCAGGACAGAGCTCTGCTTATCACACCCTCTGGTGAGGCACAAGCTTCCAGAAAAAGGAGATCCTGTTTTCATGGCCTCTACCACAAAGTTCTGAGCATTTCAACTCTATGGTTCTGAGCATTTCAACACGCACACATAGAAATCACTCTGGGGACAGCCTAGCATCTAATGTGCCAGGTAAGCTCACAGCAAAGCAGCAAGTAGTGCAACACAGATGCACAACTCCAGACCAAGCCAGCCCAGGCCATCAGCACGGGGAGCAGCTATGGTGCTGCAGGCAGGAGCCCAGCACTGAGCAAGGCACAGAGCCTCAGCAGAGACACAGACACGAAACTCAGCACCTGAAGCCTGTGGGACTCCTAATGAAAGAATCTGAAAACATGACAATCCATTCCTGTAGTTAACCTTAGAGAGTACCACTTATCTGTAAAAGTAAATCCACTGGAATCTTTCTTGCAGTCATTCTAACACTGTATTTTTTGTCCCATGCACAGTGTAACACTGTAATGTGATGGAAAGTAAAGCAACAGTAGTGGGGTGGCAAAGTTTGTGACTGCAGCAAATGAGGACAAGCCCAAAGGCAACAGCTGTGGATCCAGAAAGGAAGGAAAGAAACTGCTTACCTTTAAAAGACCTCAGGTATGCAGGGATCTCCAGTGAGATCCCCTCACCTCCACTGCCAGTCCTTAAATGAAGGCTGGAAGGGGTGGATCCTGGCTCCAGCCCTTCCATCACTCAGATGCACTGCTTACACCTGAGCTCCCCTGGGTTGGCCCTCCTTCCCACCAGGTGCTCCATCACTGCTTCAGGCCACGGCTGAGCATCTCCACTACACACAGCCACAAACAGAAAATCACACAAAAACCCTCTCCAAGAATGTATTCCTGGATAACTACCACTAGGCTTAATGCATGCAAGCAATTCCAGGACACTTTCTTTGATTTATCTCATCTAGAAAGACTTGAACAACACTGCCTTTTCTTCTGCGAATTGTCAAAGGATTTTTGTGAAGGACCCTTCAAGCAACAGCAATTCCCAGCACCCGGGAGCACCACAGCACAGCTCTTTCTGCATTGGCTCTCAGTTCAACTGCAGACTTGTGAACATAGTGCAGTATTTTCTTAAAGGGAAGAAAACATGAGAACAGCGTATGAATGAGATGAAGGAAATATGAAAAAAAGGGCAGAAGATATATTGAACAACAGAAATCAAGAGCTTTCAATCTTCGCTTTTGAGGAAAGCCAGGGAGAGCAGCCTGTGCCTGGCCATTTGTCCAACCATTTGTCCAGCCAGATGCACAAAGCCCTGATCCCAATTACCATGTTGTTCCAAAGTTTCAGTGACCACAGCCTTTAAACACACAGTCAGAAAGGGGAAACAGAACACAGTCCTCTAACATGCAGCGAGAAACAAAACCCCACACACAACAAAGCACACCTGGGCTCTCCCCACATGCACTCACCAGGCAGCCACAGGATGAGCCCAGCATTACCAGCACCTGCTCACCACCCTCTCTTGCTCATTGTGACCCTGACAACTGCTTGCACAGCCTCACCCTTATCACACTGCTGCCCAGCCCATGCTCATACCCAGAGGAGTCACTGAAAGCCTTTAGAAAGGAGACAAGCACTGCATTCACATCGATCTCAGAGAGCCCCTTTGAGAACAGGAGAGCTGTCAGCAGCCTTCACTGCCTTTCACAGGAGGCTACAAGGAAATGCTCCATCCCTGGAGGCATCCAAGGCCGGGTTGGATAGGGCCCTGGGCAGCACGATCTAGTCCTGGCAACCAGCCCAGGGCAGGGGGTTGGAACTGGATGATCATTAAGGTCCCCTCCAACCTAAGCCATTCTATGAAACCCCCAGGAGAACCATCTCCAGCACTCCTCGTTGCCTGGGAGGCAGCCAGCAGATCACAGCAGCATTAAAGCTAAATGAATGAAAGCCTCCACTACCCACACAGCGTCCACCTGAGAATGGACTCAGTGCAGCACACAGCCTCTGTGCACAGCCCTGCTCCTGCAGAGCTTCACCGTCCCTCCGTGCTGTTGGGGAGGAAGGCTGCTGTCATGAAAGACCAGTGAGTGCCTCACCATGTGTTTCGTCCTGCACACGGGGGCCCTGATGCTCACCCACATCGGCGGATTCCCACCAGGAACAGCTCCGACGACTTAAGGAGTAATTCAATCGTTAAAATATAGCCACAAAATTGGGAAAGAAGGGATGGAAAGGAAGGAAGGATTCAGCCAGCATCAGCCACTGTCGAGCACTTAGGATGGAACACACGACTGCCCCAGGGCAGTCCGCTGCCGGGACGGCACCGGACCGCAGGATTGGAGCACCGGACACCGGCTCGGGCCGCGGCGAAGCGCCCGCCGCCCTCTGCCCTCCGCAGCCGACATCGCCCCGCAGGGCCGCAGGGCCACCCCGGAAGGAAGCGAGGCCGCAGCCGGACTCGGAGCACCGCCCCCGGGCCGGAGAGCCCACGAGGCCGAGGAGCAGTCAGACTACGAGCGATGCTGGTGCCGCTCCCGCCCGACCCAGGCCCGCCGGACGGAACCCGCGCGGCCGCCCCGCACTCACCACCATCGCCGCCGCTGCCGCCATCTTGGATCCACGTGTCGGCGCCTACGTCACCGGAAGCGGCGCGCGGTTGGCTGCGGGGCCCGTCGCCATGGCGACGGCGGCCTCGGCGCCCGGCGGCCGACTGCGCTCGGCCCGGCCCGGAGCTTCCTCCGACGGCAGCGCGGAACCCGGCGCAGCGATGTCGACGGCGGGGCTGGGGCCACCAATAAGGCGTTAGCGGCTCGGAAGCCTCGGGGCGGTGCAAGGGATGAGGGCGAGCTGCGCCGTCATCTTTACTGAGGGCAGCGGCCTTCGCGCTGAGGACGGGCGCGACGCCGCGGGCGCCATCTTGTGTGAGGGCGTTGACGCCTTCATCTCTCCCCGGCGGGGCCTGGCCCAGCCCGGCGCGGTCGGCCCATGGCGGTGCTGCGCTGAGGCCGGGGCGGCGCTGCTCTTGTTTCAGCCTGGTTGTACGGTACTGAGGTGGTGCCACGGGCAGGGCTGCAGCTGTGGGGCGGCGTAAATATTTTATTGACCACAAACAAGCGTCTCAAAGCAGATATTAAAGCCAGCAAACAGCGGTGTTTTTTTATGTGAGGAGAAAACAAAAATCGCTGTCTCTCTGTTGTAAGAAGTAGGGGACAAAAATTCTGTACAAAAATAATTCTCCCTCTCTTCTTCCCCAGATGCCACATCATTAAATACTAAGAAAACCAGAAGGACAAACTGAGTGCGTAAGGAACATTCGTTGCTCGTCGTGCAAAGCCCTGCAGTGCTGCTGATGGCAGCCATCATGCTGGTGGTCCCAGAGAGGCTCAGTGATCCTCGTGGGTCCCTTCCATCCCACCGTGTTCTGTGGTTCTGTGATTGTATGATACCACTGAGGTGCAATCAGCCCCACTGTGTGTGCATTCCTCACCCTCAGCAGATGAAGCACCACAAGAAGTGTGTGGGACACCCAAAGGGAGCTGTGGTTCATGTGACACCTCTGCAGGGCCCCGGGGCAGGGATGAGATGAAGTGCTGCAGTGCTGTACCCAGAGGCTCCAATGAACTGCTCCACTTTTGCCCCACCAGGCCATAACTGGAAGCCATCATTTTCTGTACCAGGCTGGCAGATGAGGAAGGCACACACTGAACACCACAAGTGGGACAGGGAGGAGCAGGGTGCGTGCTATGCTGCTGGGATAGCGTGCACAGTGCTCTCCGCTGCCTTCACCGTGCTTTCTGCTCTATGCCTGCTGCTGGTACTGGCCCTCTGTCGCAGTAAAGAAATCCTCCAAAATGCTCTGCATGTACTCAAAGGTGGGACGGTCTTCTGGTTTGGTTTTCCAGCATCTCATCATGACATCGTAGAGCTCCTCAGGACAGCTTTCCGTACGGGGCATGCGGTAGCCGTGCTCCAGAGCTCTGATCACCTCCGCGCTCGACATCCCTACAGAAGTGGGGCAGAACATTTCAGGGGCTGTCACTGATTTCTTTAAAAAGGAACAAACACAAAACCCAGCCCTCCTTTGGGCAACGTCACTGTGGAGAGAAAGGACAGGTTGGAGGAGCAGGGGGAGATCCTGCTCTGCTTCAGGAGAACGTGCCAACAACTGTGATGCCACATCCCCTGTCGCCTGCAGTTTTGTACCCCATTTGAGCAGATCAGATGGGAATTGTAATTGTTTTGTATGAATTCCCAGGAAATAAAGGCTGCGTTTTTCCATCTGCTGAAGCTTTAATAAGCCATTTTTCCCTGTGTCACTGATGAAAACAAGGTAGTGTCGATGGCAGAGTGGGTCCATCCCCCACAACACTTTCAGCCACTCCTTAGCCTTCATGGATGGGTTGTGGCAATGGTTACTTTCCAGGTACAGTCATTTTCCAATGAAAAAAGGCACCAGAGAAGCAATTAGGGTATAACAGAGAACACATCCTAATGATGACAATATACAGATTGTTTGAGCTTTCCCAAAAACACCTGGCCCAGCTATCAGCCCTGAACTGATGTTCTGCTTCCAAACAATCTTTTCTGCAGGAAGCAGAGAAACAAGGGTAAGTGCTATAAACACAAATAATTGTGGCCTTGCGATCTCTGAGCTCAGTTTCCAGTGTGAGATTCAAATTTCTTGCCATTGCCTCTGTTTTTGGTGATCTAACTTCATGGAGAAAAAAAAAAAATCCTATAGAGGGAGCCCAGAACACGGAGCACATCTTTTGGAACTGGGTTAGAACAGGAATTTCTGTACCTGGGTATGGGATGCGCCCATAGGTAATGATCTCAGTCAGGAGGATCCCAAAGGACCAGACATCAGATTTTATAGTGAAAGATCCATAGTTGATTGCCTCTGGCGCAGTCCATTTAATGGGAAATTTGGCACCTGGACCAAGAGATCCAACGAGAAACATGAGCTAAAACCCAAATGTTGAGAATTTGGTAGTGAAATATGGGGAAGAAGAAACAAACAGAAGAGGAAGATACGGAGCAATGCAAATGAGAGGGGCTTCCACTCATCCGTTCATTGCAGTACGTCTCTCCCCGGGTCCCTGTTGCCAAGGCTGCACAGCGATGAGGGGCTCTTAGGGAATCCTGCAGCCCTTCCCCATCCCAGGCAGGGGCCAGGCTCCCACAGCAGCTCTCGTACCTTCCCGAGCTACGTACTCATTGTCTTCAATGATCCTGGCCAGCCCAAAGTCTGCAATCTTGCACACCAGCATCGCTGACACGAGAATGTTGGCAGCTCTCAAGTCTCTGTGAATGTAGTTCCTCTTCTCAATAAAAGCCATTCCTTCTGCAATCTGTAAAAAGCAGAAAGGCAGAAACGCGGGTCTGTTTGAAATAACACAAAACCCATAGCTAGGAACGGAAAAAGCTCAACTGATTTTGTGAGCACATAGCAAAAAAGGGCAGGGGGGGCTGAGCTGTGGCAGGGCATGGGACATCTGTGGTGGAAATGTGACCAAGGGCTGCGTGGGAAGCACTGCAGTGTAGGATGGTGAAAGAGGTTGGGGTGACCCAGCACTGCTCATTTATGGTTGGGTGAGAACAGCAGCAAAGAACTGGTGTCCAGGGAGCTGGCAGGCTCAGGAGCAAATGTCTGGGGATGCCCACAGGCCAAAGTGTGGCAGCTGCATCCATAGCCATGTAAATGTGCCGAGGAGTAAATCATTCTCCATTATGAGCAGACATGAGAACAGCCTCCAAATGCACAAACAGCTGCTGGAGAGAAGCGCAATCTCCTCTTTGCTAAAAGGGCACCAAATGCAGAGGGCTTCTCTGGGGAGAATAAAAAGCCCTGAGATGGGTCTCTGGAGAGGGCTGTGAAGTCAGCCTGGAGGCAGGATAGTGCTGCTGACCCCAAAGATGGCCCCAGCTCCATCTTCTGAGCTCTCTATGCTCGGTGACTGCGCAGCTGTTGGCTCCTGAGCAGCACAGAGATGCACTGCTGTGTGCACAACCCAAACCCAACTTTGTGCTGACTTAGCCTGAGCTGGGATGCTAGCAGCATCTAGAAGGTGAAAGGGCCGGAGCAGCCAGGGGGAAGCACTCCCCTCCCTGTTACACCACAGTAAGATGTACAAAATACAGAAGTAAGCAGGCACTGCAAGAGTGGAAGGGCCATTTGCAGGGCCCCACACGGCTTTGCTGCCTGTGACTCAGCAGCATCTCCAGCCAGGAGCCCAGCTACTGCCTGCTCACTGCCCGGTGCTGCGCAGAGCGCGACAGCCTTATAGGGATGTGCTCCAGAGCCAACGACCTGCTCTGCACCTCCAAAGCCTGGGCTGCAATCCGAGCTTTGCTGTTGCTCAGGTTCCTCCATTCATCGAGGCATCACACTTGGCTCCAAGGTGGGCTGTTGGCCAGCAGCTGCAGGCGCTGCAAAAGCAGCGGTGCCAGGATGGTGTCTGCACAAATGGTTGCACACACAAAGCGAGGTGGGTAAGAGCACACCCAGCTGTATTCCAGACCCTGAAAATATCCCTGAACCTCTTTTCGCTGAGTCCCTCTTCTCTCCAGCTGCCTTCTCACAGCCCATGGCAACTCTCTGGCTGAAAGATGAATTTTAAGCATAGCTTCCACCGTAAACCTCCCCTAGGCATTGCTGCTCCATGGGGAGTCGTGTGCTTACAACTGAGGCTGTGCTACTCAGGGCCAGCACATCCTGAAGAAAGGCCTGCAAAAATGAGCGAGAGAGATCCAGCTCCACCTCTTCACCCTACAAAGCAGAGCTGCAACATGGGCCCCCAGGGCTGCAAACCCATGGGGCAGGAACTCAGGGCCAGCGCTGGCAGTGCCTGGGCTTGCTGCAGTTAGTGGGTTAATGGGGAGGAAATGACTGCTTCTCCTTTTGTGCACATCTGCTCCCACAGTCTGCAGCACAACAAACCTCACTGCCCCATTCCTGCATGCCCTGTTCTGCGAGTCCTCGCCATGCACAGAGGATCTGCAGCATTTCCCTTGCCTGGAAGCACGCTGCCAGCGCTCAGCCCCACCAAGCCTTGCACTCTGCTTTATAGATCCTTGGCAGGGAGGAAGGGTAGGTCCCCAAAAGCCAGCCATGAGCTCTCAAGGGATTTAAGCCACTCGAGCTCAATTTTGCTTTGCTAGAACTGAAAGATGGAACGGGAAGCTGGGGAAGATCTGTGCCCTGCTCACCTGTGCAGAGAAGTCGATCAGCTTTGGCAGTGGCTGCTTGTTGCCTTCCTCACTCTTCAGGAAGTCCAGCAGGCTCCCTGAAGGCAGAGCATGGCGCTCAGCCTGGCTGCAGCCCGACAACTCCCATGCTCACCCACCGGTGGCACAGGGCCCCTCCTGTCCCTATCTCTGTCCCCTCACCCCCCCCAGCCCCACCTCCTGCACCCCCATGTCCCACACCATGCAGGCCAGCAGCACCTTTCTCCATGAACTCGGTGATGATGTATATGGGCTCCTCCCTGGTGACCACAGCGTGCAGCCTCACCAGCTTGTCGTGCTGCAGACCCTTCATGAGGTTTGCCTCCTCCAGGAAGGCACTCACAGACATGCTGCCGGGTTTCATTGTCTTCACTGCCACCTTGGTGTGCTTGTTGTAGGTTGCTGCCAGGATACCAGCCTCACTCATCATCGCCCCACCATCATTCCACCACTTCTCCCACCCCTCACCTTTCTTCCTTTGCCACCCTCACTCTCACCCATCCAAACTTCTCCAAACTGCCCGGCTCCCAGCTTCTTCTCCAGCTTCAGTGACTCCCGAGGAATTTCCCAGGCATCTTTCTCCCAGGGCTTCTGGGGTCTGGGCACACTGCAGGGGTAGGTGAGCCTCTGGCACAGCCCATCACTCTGCCCTGCCAGAGAGCAGCAAGCGCAGTCAGCCAGGCTCCATGATCTGTGGCTGTGGGGCATCAGCTGGTGTCAAACACCATTACTGCAGCATAGCACAGCTGAGCATTACCATGCAACATGGCACAGCCAGGGCACCAGCATGGAGACAGGCAATTCCCAGGCCCTGTGAGCATTTGGTGCCACCAACACCCCTGCCAGGCATTGCGGGGGGACACAGAGTGGCCAAGGTCTCAGTGGAAGCAACGTGCCAGGGCTCACCCTTGTAGTGCTCCACCAGCTCCTGCAGTGTGTCAAAACTGCTGCGTGAGGAGATGTAGAAGCCACCACTATCCAGTGTCCGGATCCTGTAGTGCTTGATGCTGCCTCCCTGCAGGCCGTCCCCATCCCGCACCGACAAGGAGTAGCAACCTGCTCAGGGATGGATGAGCTGTGCCATGGGGCAGTGTCCCTCAGCTCCTGGCTAAGCCACCAGCATGGCATCACCCCTGCCTGGCCCCAGCACAGCCCCAGGCAGCAATGGCAGCCCCATGGGGGCGCATCCCCTGTCTCCTCATGGGGTTCAGGGCAGCATCATGGGCTCATGCAGAGATGCTTGCAGCAGCATGGTGGACTCCAGCTCTTGCCTGGCAGCAAATCAGAGCCCCTAGGGTGTATTGAGCCTCTCTCCTGGTCAGATGTGCAGAAGGGAGGCCCTTCTGGAGCTGCCTCACCCCCCAGGTACCTTTGGTCGTCTCACTGTCCCGAATCATGAAGGATCCCAATGTGTTCCCGGGGCTGAGCAGCTGCCGCTCCGCATCCTTCCTGCTGATACCCTTGAAGAACCACCTGCAGCAGGAACAGAGTAAGCAACGACTGCTGCTGGGAGCCAGGAAGCCAAGGCTGGCACAGGCTGGGGCTATTAGCCCTGGCACGGTGGGGACACGGGGTGTGACTGGAGATAACTGCAGTGGGACTCTCACTCTTCCACCTCCAGTGAGTTTGCTCGGGCGACGAAGTTGCTGGGGATGAAGCCCTTGCGCCCTGTCACCAGCGACCATGCCTGCCACCACTCTCCCAGCCTGAGGACGCAGACAGCCACGGGTCAGCACAGGGCACTGCCAGCACCCATGAGCCATAGGGACAGCCCTAGGCAGGGGACACGTACTGCTCCAGGACCTGCAGCTGCTCCCCTTTCTGGAAGCTCAGGTCTCCAGAGTGCATCGCCTCATAGTCATACAGTGCCAGCACCACGTTGTCCCCTGAGCCTGCAGTGAGAGTGGCTCTCGTGTGCCTGTCCCCATGCTGGGACCACGCACCACACACCCATGTGTCCCTGCTGCCAGGAAGCACAGAACTCCCACACCATCAGGTTTGGTTCCAATGAGGACCCTACTGTGCTCCCCATCGCTGTGTGTACGCACCATCCGCCAGCAGGGGCGCAGACACTCCGTGTTCATCGTGCTGCAAATGGAACAACAAACAGGAGAGTGTAACGATGGCACACAATGGGACCTGTGGGGGTCTTGGACACTCGTCCATCTTGCCCAGCACTGGCAGAGCGTCTCCTTCCTCAACACCTTCATCTCTGACTGTCCACATTCCTTTATTCTCACCAATGTGGGCTGGGACAGACCTTGCACTCCCATCTCAGTTCCCACCCCAGCCCTGTGCCCGCTGCCACCCAGGTGGCTCCATGTCCCCTGTGCCCCCTAGGGCACTGCAGCTCCCACTTACTTGCTTGCTGCCAGACGCAGGGTCCTTCTTATCGTGGCCTAACTGCATCTTCTCTTGGATGCTGTCTTCCTTTGACTTCATGCAACCCATCCTGTGTGTGTGTGAGGATGGCGTGGGGGGGGGGAGGGGGACAGGGGAGAAGTTGCAACAGCACCAAAAGCCCCACACCCACAGTTCCCACTCCAGCACAGCTGGTGTCCACAGCCCTGCTCACACCAACAGGTTGGGCTCCACAAAAGCAAAAGCCAGACTCTCCCCCAAAGAAATGTCAGTAGGAAAATGTGCTGCCAGCAGCAGTGGTGCAGGGAAAGCCCCCAAAAGGCACTTCCCTCTCTCCGACAGAGACCTCAGCCCAGGGAAAGGAGAAGGGTGCAGCGAAGGAGGAAGCAAAGGGCTGTGGCACTGTGGGGGACATGCACAGCACCACCTCAGTCCCACGGTCCTCGAGAGACTATCACTGCCACCTCCCAGCCGTGTCACCATCACTCCTGGTCCTTTACAGCAAGCCAGAGCCTTTGCCCACCGTGCTCTCCAGCAGAGCAGATGTGTCTGAGCACCTCACACTCTCCACGTCTTGAGGCACTGTCCCATGCAGTGACTTGGTAGCATTGGGGATCCCCTGGTGCACCTCATGTTCTGCAGCTCCTGTGGCTGAGCCCAAATGTGGGGACAGGAAGCGACACCACGGCATCACCTCCTCCTTCCCTGCACCCCAGCATCCATTTCATTGGCATTGCCCCCCTGCCATCCCCAGACTTCAGTTCCCATCCAGGGGCCACCACACCTAGCAGGGACAGGACAGGGACCGAATCCAGCACAGGGCACCACTGCAGCAGCTCTGCTGTCTCAGGCAGGGATGGCGAAGGGCAGCCCTTTACCCGGGGCTCTGAGTCCCACTGACCTCGCTGCCCTGGGGGCTCTTCTCTCACCTTGGCTGCTGTCACGGGTCCCGGTCCCCGTCCCAAAGCCAAATCCACTGCTGCTGCCACCACATCGAGCTCGGTGGGTGTTGCTCCCTGTCCCGGTGTGGCTCCGCCTCACCCGGTGTGGCTCCGCCCCTCTCCGGTACGACACTCCCTGTCCCAGCCCTCAGTGACATCCCGGTCCTCAGCCCCGACCAGGGCTGCTCGGGACAGGGAGCCATTCCTTCACCCGCCGCGGGACGAGAGAAGCAAGGATGGGGTACAGGATGGGACCAGAGCATTATCACTTCCCACCCGGTTCTGTGCCCCCAGGAGAAGTAAAGAGAAAACCCGAGTGCTTCACTTGGACAAGGATTTGCATACATCATTTTTAGGGAAGTAACTTGCTGCGGGCAGCCCTCACGCTACCTGCCCAGGTGCTGCCCCCTGCTCGGAGCTGTGGGGCTCCTGGGGGCTTTGCTTAGTCCAGGAACAGCCATCCCCACCACTCCCCATCCTGGAGGAAGGCAAACACTTCAACTGCAGCGCATCCAGACCCCCGGCACAGGGAGGCTGTGGCTGCCACCCTCCCATCCCAGCACAGCCACACTGACCCCACTTTGCTGTGAGAGCACCCTCCTGTGCCAGCCCAGCTTGTCATAGCACTGGGGTGGGTGGGTGTCCCATCTATGAGCTGCCCCTGTGCCCCAGCTCACCCCCTGCCCAACACATTCCCTTTGCACCGAGGAAGAACCTGCTCCAATCCCCGTCTTGGTCATTTAATTGCAATCTGCAAAAATTACAGCACTTGGCACCGCTGGTGGGGGCTCCCCTGCACCGACACCGCCCTGAAATGCCATCAGCCCAGCCAAGAGGAGAGCCCTGTCCCTTCCTTGGTGATCTGTGCCTCCTTCACAGGTAGTTGTCCTCCTCCTCTTCCTCCTCCTCCTCCTCGTCCCGTGCCAGTGCCTCGATGTCATTTGTGATGTTGGTGATCATGCGGTTGAAGGACTCGGACTCAGAGCGCAGGGACCAGCTGTCGTAGCTGCGCACAGCGGAGGCCGACGTGTTGCTCATGCTGCGCTTGATGCGGCCGAAGCTGTCGGTGAGGATGCCGCCCTCCCGGATGCCGATGCTCTCCAGGAAGGTCTCAAAGTACCCAATGTCTTGATCGGGGATGAAGGGCCTCATCCCTGGGACAAGTGCCACGAAGTTTCGTGGTGTGACCGTGCCAACCCCATCTGGGGGCAGCGGGGTCCCACCAACCCCTTGCTGCGCACCCAAGACCCCGTCCCCAAGGATGCACGGATGGTGTAGCACAGACTGATCGCTCAGGGCTGCCCCAATCCCTGGGGCACTCACCCAGCAGGAGGAACTTCCTCCGGTCCCCGTAGAGGCGTAAGAGCTCTGTGCAGTACTCCTGCACCGGAGTGCCCAGCCGGTACTCGCGGAGCATCAGGGCAAACTGCTGGATCTCCTGGGGCGACAGCTTGTTGCGCAGCTGGGGGGGAAACAGGGATGGGTCGGGGCTGGAGGCTGAGGTGCTGGAGAGGAGTGGGATCTCCTACCAGCCCCCAGCCCTCACCGTCACCATGTAGTCCTGCAGCTGCTCCAGCCCCACGCTGCTCTGGTCGCTGCCGCTGCAGGCGGTGGCCAGGCTGTGGTGGGACTGGTGGAAGGAGGGCGAGGATGTCCCACTATAATATGCCTCAAATGTCTCGTGGGAACCATTGCTGCTGGAGGACAGGGCAGGAGGGGGTCAGTGGGTGCTGGCACTGCTCTTGCACAGCACCCGTCGGGCAGGGCAGCGAGGATGTGCACCTGCCCCAGAGCTGGGAACTCACAAGGAGCTGCAGCAGCTGTAGTCAGCATCGTAGCCATACGTTCCATCTGTGCGGCAGCTCTCACCTGGGGAGGGAAAGCTGAGCTCAGAGAACAAGGGTGTGAGCCCCCACGCTGTGCTCATGCCCTTCAGCCCTGTGTCACCGCACTTAAGGCTCCCACACCCGCCTCCATCCACTCACTTCTGCTGGAGAGCCAGGGCCTCGTGGGTGTGGAGGTGTAGTGGTACCCGGCACGGTCCACACACTCGATGCTCTGATCACCGTAGATGATCTGGAAGACCTGGCAGATGAGCGCGCAGGACTCCTCGGCCGCATCCTGCAGAGGACCGGAGGGGATGGGGAGGTGGGCGCATGCCGGGAAGGGAACCCAGTGCCGGGAACCCGCGGGTGCTCACCCTGTTCGGCACAGCGAGGATGACGAGGTTGGAATACGCGTCGGGGCACGGCTCCTGGGGGTCCAGCGGGTTGCCACCGGGGTGCCGTCTCTCCCAGCTGCCGAAACCGGTGCCGCGCTCCCAGCTTCCACCCGCCGTGCCGATCCGCCGCCGCTCCCAGCTGCCGCCGCACGGCTGCCTCCTCTCCCAGCTGCCCGACGGCCGCCCGCGCTGCCGCCGTTCCCAGCTGCCTCCCCTCCGCCGCTCCAGGCTGCCACCCTGCCGGCCCTCCTGCCCGCCCCGAGCCGCACGCCAGTCCAGGCTGCAGATGGTGTGCCGCCGCTCCATCGCACCTCCCAGCCGCCCCGGCTCCGGCCAAGAGCTCCCCGAGCGCTTCTCAGCCGGGGGCACCTCCGGCACCGGGGCCGCTTCGGGGTACGCGCCAGCGGGGACTGGGTCCACTCCCAGGCCTGGAGGCAGCGAGGAGGGTCGGGGCATCAGACTGGGGACGCCAGCTCTCACACCTGCCCCATCTCACTGACTGGGCGAGCCTAGGAATGCACCCCATACCCAGCCTGGGGCTCAGCCCCCTCCCCAGGAGCCTGGCTGTGGCTTGCTGCTGAGCGTGGGTTTGCTGAGCACCAGAGCCCCTGTTCCCTCATCTGGGCTGGATGCAGTGGGGGTGGGGGGCACTTCCTGCATTCTCTCCTGCTGCCATTAAGTGCAGCTGGGGCCGGGGGAACAGCTGGGAGCTGTCTGCAGGAGCAACGGGAGCAGTGGGCAGCTGCTGCACGTGGTGATGCCCTGTCAGAAGATGGAGCCGGCTCCTCCCCATCTCATCAGGGTGCCAGGTGCTTGGAGCCAGCTGTATTGCAGTGGGGTGCCTGCACCTGTTTTGAGGATGAGGAGGTGCAGGGCATCGTCACGCAGGTAGGAGGCTGCAGCGATCTCATGTGTGGGGATGCGCAGGATCAGCTCCTCGTTGTCACGCCAGGTGAGCAGCAGGCAGCGGGCAGACAGGCTCAGGATGCTGTCCTGCTCCGGGGTCGTCTGCAGAGGCAGCTCCTTCAGCTGCTGCAAGCAGAGAACATTCTGGGGTGTGGGGACTTGATGCTACTGTGGGGTAGCACTGTGGGGTGACAAATGGAATGCTGGGCGCTCCCTTACCCTGGCAGTGTCCAGCAGCTGCAGCACCTCATCCCGGCTGGAGGGGTTCAGCGAGGCTGTTACCCAGGTCAGGTGGCCCAAAAACTGGGGGGACAAAGCCTGGGATACTTTTGGGATGGAAAATCATCCCCCCTGGGATGCAAGGGGAACACAACGCAGGGCCATGGGGAGCACACCTGCCCCCCCTTCCCCCCCCGCTCTCCCTGTCTCTGGACAGAAGGGGACCAGAAGCACTCCCAGCCCTGCAGGTAACCCCCTGCTTTACCTTCACCTCCTTCTCCACATAGTCATGCAGCAGGATCTGGGGGTCGATCAGGTAGTCAGGGGGGTACAGTGGCACTGAGTGCAGCGGCCGCCGGTAGACACTGCTGCGGAGAGCTGCCCTCCGTGCAGCCTTGGGGAACACCAGGCGCCGAATGGGCGACACGAAGCCCTGTGGGATTTGGGCACACATCAGCACAGCTCCTCCCTGCTGGATCCCCCTGAAACCTGAGGGGCTCAATCCCAGCACCGAGGGGAGCCCCCAGCTCCCAACCCTCATCCCGGCACCCCAAGACCCGAGGAGCCATGGCCCCAGAACGCACACACCTTCTTCCCTTTCTTGGTCTCGCAGTCCATGGCGCTGCTGCCGTCCTTTCTGTCCAACGCCTTTGTTGTTTTCCTGTCGGAAACTCCACCAGAATGGCTCGGATGTGAGTTCCTGCCCCTCCGCGGGTGCTGGGCTGGACTGGGCTGGGAATGGGGCTGGCAGTGGAACTGGAGTTTGTCTGGGCTGGGCCTGAGACCAGAACTGATATGGGATTGGGACTGAGCTGGGACTGGTGCTGGAACTGGGACTGAAACTGGGACTGGGAACAGAACTGGGATGAGACTGGGATGGAGCTGAGACTGGGATTGGTACAAGACAGTGACTGTGGGTGGCATGGAGCTGGGACTGGGTCTGGACCAGATCCAGAACAAGAGCTGGGGTGCCTGTGCACTATGCAGCAGATCAGCCCCTTCCCCTCACTACCACGGGGATCCCAAGGACCCCTGTCTGCCCCCATCCTGGCAATGGAGGAGGACTCCATCTCGAGGCCACACAGCAGTGCCCAAAGCTCTCGGACCCTAGGGCAGCCCATGGACCCCTGCTTTGGGACTGGGGGTCAGATGGTGAATAGGGCCCCCCGGCATGGAGGAGGAGGTTGGACTGGGATCGCTGGCAACGGGGCTGTGTCCAGCAGTTTCCTCCCCAGCACATCACATCCTGCCCACACACCCCTTCCCTGCCAGAGGCAGCGGGGCTGAGGGCTCCAAGCAGGTGGCTCATCCACAGCTGTTCCCAAATGTCCCCAGCATCCTGGGAGCTCCACTTCAAGGCCCTGAGCCTGGCAACATGGGGGGGACTGGGGAGAGCCGGAGGAGCCAGCAAGGAAAAGGCTCTGGCAGGCAGTGCTTATTGAAATGAATTTAATATCTCATGTTGCAGCAAAATTAAAAATATACAAAAAGTTTGTGGTATACAAAAAAGTCTCGGTCAGACCCCGGTCTCTCGCTCATCCCCTGCCCCTGCCAAGGGTCCCAGAGAAGAAGGTGGCACACAGAGTATTTACAGTACATGACAGCCGGGCTCCCAGGTCCCAAGCACCAGGGGGGGACGTGGCTGAGACCCTCAGTCCCTGCTGGGGAGAAACAGCCCCAGCCCGGAGCAGCGGGGCCTGGTCCTG